AGTATTATTTTTCTATTCGATGTCTATTACTGATTATTTTCTTTGAATTTTTTCTTCAACATAGTATTATTTGGTTAAGGTATAAGAACTTTAGAAAGTCTTTGACCCATATTCTAACTTGTTCTCAAAAAAGTTTAAATTAATTTACATTCCCTTCAACAAAGTGCGCAATGATCTTTTGCTCAAGAGAATTTTTAATTTTATGTAGTTTTATTCTTAACACTTTGCACAGACTAAAAGGTAAAGTAGAAAGTATTTACTGATTATTTAACATCTCATTCTCACTTAGAAAAAATTAATTCTGAGATCTCTGGGGAAGACGTATTTTAGTCTTTACTGTTTAACTAATTAACCTATAAATCACTAATTAAGGATCCTAGCCTAGCAAAAGTGATTTTCAATGAACTGTAAAACACAGAATGATCAACAAGATAATTTCCAAAAGAAGAAACATGAAAATAGTGGGGCAACAGTAATAGCCCCTAAGTTAGTCTTGGGTTGTAGCGATTTCAAGAGCGATGCTGTATGAAGCCATCAGCAGCTGGTCTGACACTGCAAGTCATTTTTAGTTTTATCTGTAATATTTTGTGATACTGACATTTTTTCCCCAGCAAAACAATTGTTTCTCTTTTCCAGTTTTATCTAAATTCTGTATCCAAATGGAGGAGTAATTATAACTATTGAGAGAAAAGTGTCATTTCAGTTCTTTACTGAATAATTTCAAATTCCTGTCCTAGCATATTTCCCAGGTTACTATTGACCAAAACTTACTAAGTAGTAGAATGTTTATTCATTGCCACCTCTCAGTATATACTATGAAGAGGCTGAACTGAGAAATTAAAAGTATCAACCAAACTACAAATAGTTAAGACATGGAAACAACCTAAGTGCCACTACAAATGACCAGCTTAAGAGGTAGTCGTCGAGATACATAGGCATGGAGGCGGCCATGAGAAAAGATAAAATAATGCCATTTACAGCCAAAAGGAAGGAAGTTGAGGGAGTAATGTGTAGTGAAGAAGTTAGAATGACAAAGGCAAATGGTGGTTATTTACATAGTGGATGATTTAACAAAGCACAATACCTATGAAAGCCAGTGGGTATTAATGAAGACAGTGAGACTCCATCTTAGAAGGAGGGGTGAGGGAGAAGGCATCAAAGGGGCATCATGAGATGGTGGTGGTGGGCAAAATATATCACCTAGAAAATAAAAAGTTCAAGAACATTGATAGGAGTTCAGGATAATAATCCAGTAGATTGAGAAGCAGTTCATAAGATGAACATATAATTTTCTAACAAAATGCATTTTAAAATGCTCATTTTTTTAAAAGTTTTTATTTATTCATACAGAACTGGGGTACAGGCCAGAGATGCGGAGGGTGAGAGGATTCACCAGAGACAGAGTGGGGTACAGAACAGGCAGATTGACAAAGTACACTGCTGAGGGGAGCAGCGGACGGGTCAGGAGAGGTCTGCCATGCCATGTGGTCACCTCCAGGGCAGGCGGGAATTGAACTCATGCGAAAGTGGCTTTAGCTTCTTAGTGCTGTGCTTTAAACCGCTGCACCACCAGGGAGGGCCCTAAAATGCTTATTTTTTTTTTTTTTAAAGATTTATTTATTTATTCATACAGAACTGGGGTACAGGCCAGAGATGCGGAGGGTGAGAGGATTCACCAGAGACAGAGTGGGGTACAGAACAGGAAGATTGACAAAGTACACTGCTGAGGGGAGCAGCGGACGGGTCAGGAGAGGTCTGCCATGCCATGTGGTCACCTCCAGGGCAGGCGGGAATTGAACTCATGCGAAAGTGGCTTTAGCTTCTCAGTGCTGTGCTTTAACCCGCTGCGCCACCAGGGAGGGCCAAAATGCTTATTTTTAATGGCAGAGAAACCTTGAAACAAGAAGAGACAAAAAGAAAACATGCTGACATAGTACATAAAAAAATTAAGGAGCAGTTAAGAAAAAAGAAAGAGCAGTTCAGTAAAGAAGTTGAAGCCAGACAGCAGCTTGAACTCAGGCTTCGCGCCCTGGACATGGAATTGAGGACTGTCAGAAATAATTTGGAGCAGGTAAATGAAACTTTGGTAAAAAAATTTGTGTTTCTAACATTATTTTTCTGTATTATTTATGATAGCCCATTCATTTTATGTGCATTATTTAGGTTTAAAACAATTAAAAGACATCTCATTCCGAATATGAAGTAAGACCTTTGTGACTAAAATTAACCTATTGCAATTCATGACATCGAATAGATTGCTTAATGTATAGTTTCTGAATGAACATAAGTTGAACTTAATCATAACCCTAAATGCGAATTTTTGCTTTTTTATTTTAAAATACATAAATGGACTTAAGCATGTATGGAACCACCTAAGTGAGGAAATTTAATTTTACAAAACAAGATCTGTGATTCATTAAGCTGTCATTTAAATGAAAATTTAAATTATCCTATGAGATAAAGATTTTTGTACTTGAGAAAGCTATTGCTTTGTTTTTGACAGCCAAAATCCTAATGAAACAAATTTATAGATTGTAGAACAAAATGTCCATAAAAGGCAACTTTTCCCAGAACAGAATGCCAGAATATGACAAGGTAACAGTATGCGCAATCATAATAGCTAGAAATGACTCATAAGAAAGCAAATCTGAGATATTATCTTAGTCATTCATTTTCAAATATGTGTGTATATTTGCGTATGTATATATTTTTAAAACCAACACTATACCCCAATGAAAATATAGAGGGTTTCTACTTAGAGAAACTGAGGCAAGCAAATGTAAGTGAATTTATTAAAGAATTGAGAGTGAGGACTCCAGCCTATGAATAGCCTCCAGACACCTCTGGGGAAGGTTTCCAAATTCTGTGCTTCTCAGTGAGACGCTACAGTTGGTGTTCTTGGTGTGAGGACCACTTAGGGAAACAGGAAGGCCTGAGTGTGAGTCTTCGTCTGCCCACTGAAAAAGAATAAGAATAGGCAGGTACACAGAAAGATTAATGAGAGAGGGAGCACACTCTGTGTGTGTGTGTGTGTGTGTGTGTGTGTGTGTGTGTGTGTAGAGGAGGAGAGAAAGGGGAGAAGGGGAGGGAGAGAGACAGGGAACGAGAGAGACAGAGAAACAGAGATCAGAGAGACAGAGACAGAGAGAGATTAATTGGTCAATATGTCCTACTGATAATGCTGCCTGAGCTGGGAATCTGGGTGCACACTGAATGCAGGAAAAACCAAGTTCCCCCTGGCTGACATATCCTCTTTCTTAGCACACGTGGCCATTAACCCCACCCTTTGTTTCCAGAAAACCCCTTCAAGAAGTCCAGGATAATGCTAGATCCATGGCATGATGGGAATTGTAATCATAGGTGCCTGGGATCTCTGGCCTGGAGGTGGGGCTGGAGTCCATAAAACAGTAGTGGGTGAGTTCATTCAGTGCATACCGTTCCCCCAACAATTTTCCCCTTTCAAGCTTTGTTATCGTTTCTATGGTGACAAAAGTCAAATGAGTGGGTTCTGGGGTGTACACCTCAGATCACAATCCTTTCTGGGGGCACCAGTGTGTTGAAGAGAGCAACAGTCGCAGGCATTGTCCAGGGTGGCAAAGTTCCCATTTCTGGAGATCATCTATCAGTCCCAGCCAAAATGAAAAAGAAATCTGAAGGCTTTAGTCAAAACAAAACGGCAAACACAATACCAGAAAAATCCCTGCAAGAAAAATCTTAAGACTGGTTCTACTTGTTTACAGTCATTTCCTCTCCACCTTAGTCCAGTTCTATTCAATGGAAGAACAAAACACTTTTGCGATCTAAATTTACTTCCAATGCATTTTGCCTATTTTTTGCACAAAGTTGCAGGGCAGAATAGCCAAGGAGAAATTTAGCAAGGGGGCTATCTTGAAATGTTTCAGGTGTTTCTACAGAGACACAGAAAATGCAGGCCAAGTACCTTTAAAATATCTATCTGATCTAATCTATGTATTAAGGCAAGCAAAGATTGTTAAAATTTACCCTCTCTCTTCTGATAACTGGGAATTGTAATACCATAAAACTCATTCTTTTGAGTGACAAAATTGTTTGGAGGCAACAGTTCCCAAAAGTTTTTTACAAAGAGCAATTTTTTTCTGGGCAAGTCTCTTCATAGAACCAGACAAGCTGCATCCTGACACTAGACTTGAGCCCCTTAGTTGGGGCCAGGGAGAGGGATTTATATATCTATATATTAATATTTTTATGGCATTTTTGGTCCATTGGATCAAGTGATTATATGCGTATTCAAATCCACTTGTCAGCTATCGTCCTCCAGTGGCTGCTTGCAAAAGTCTTTTAAAACTTCGCTAAGAATTTATGGACCTTCTATATTCTCTAAACTTTTGCTACTAACAACAGATATTCCTGTTTTGGGCAGTGATTAATAGAGGCTGGATAGATTAATAGAGGTTAGTCAATCATACCCACTGATGCCAAGGAGAAGGAGTATAGGCATTTCAGAGATGTGTTTTTGATAATAACCTGCCACTTTTGAGAAAAGCAAGTATTTTTTCACAAATAGTACCTTATTTCAGTATAAGGAGTTTTAGAAAACAATGATGTGTCACAATGCATACATAGTGATCATTTGTGCTTAGTAGTATTTTAATTCCTTGCAAAGTAGGTCAGTATATTTCCCCTGATTTCATATTTATACTATTTTAAACACTACAAAGAAGAAAGTGGCTGAAGCTGCCAATTACTATATGTTTTTAAAAGAAAGTTCAATATATTTTATACTAGTTGCCACTGGTATTCTGAAATAGAAGACTCTTCTGTATTTGTATCTTGCACCATGGAAGTAGCTGCTGTTTGGTATAAGAGCACAAGAGGTTTAGGCAAAGACCAAGGAAAAGTCCTGCATTTTGCTTACATGTCCCAGAAAATCAGGGAAAAGCTCTCCAGTCCTGAGTTGTAATATTGAATTTATTGATATTTGTGGCTCAGTATGAGGGAGGCCTCACTTTAACAGATGTAACTGGCTGTAAACATCTATAAAAGTAGAATATTAGGGAATTTCATGGGGGAAAAAGACTTTTAGGGAATTTAATCTATAAATATACCCATTCTCCTTATATGCCTTCTGGGTTATGAGAAACTTAAAACTTCCTTCACAGTCTCTGGTTTACATTCATGGATTTATGTTTTCAATTAAATTTTTGAACTTTGGAGCATTTGTGTTGCAGAAATCTTGACAAACTGATCTTTTTTTTTTTTTAGTTGATAACTGCTATTTCAGCCTTTATATTTTACAAACAAATCAGCTATATAAATAATAGGTTATATTTTAATTTTAATTTGAGATGTGATCAAGAGATGCCATTTTATTGAATGCGAACTAAAAATCTCTTACATTTTCCTTAGGTTTCTGGCAGCGATGAAAGAGAAAAAGACCTACTCCACAAAAACCACCTATTACGGGATGAAATTGTCATGCTAACACAGGAGATAGAGACAATAAAAAATCAGAGCCAGGAAAAGGAAAAGGAGTATTTTGATGAGATTGAAAATATAAAAGAAAAGAATCATAAGCTTAGAAAGACAATACAACTGAATAAAGAAACTTTAGCAGAAACAATTTGCCAGCATAGCCAACAACTGCATAGTCTAAAGGCTGAGGTTGCAATACTAAACTCTAAGCTGGAGAGTGAAAAGCAGAACAAAGAAAGGCTGGAAACAGAAGTGGAATCATGCCGTTCTAGACTGGCCATCGTTCTCAACGATCATAATCAGAGTCAAGCATCCAAGAGAGACCTAGAACTGACTTTCCAGAGAGCAAGAGAGGAGTGGCTTCATTTACAAGAAAAAATTAATTTTGATGTGGCTCAGCTAAAAGTCGACAATGAGGCTCTCTCTCAGAAACTTTCTAGCTCTGAACGTAAATTCAACAATCTAGAAATCGAGCTCCACCACACAAGAGATGCTCTCCGAGAGAAGACTGTAGCTTTAGAAGACACCCAAAGAGACCTCAAGCAAGCTCAGTGTCAAAAGAAGGAAATTGAGCACATGTATGGAAACGAGCAAGATAAAGTGAGTGACTACATCGCGAAGCAGGCAGCCTTAGAGAAGAGGGTGTCTCAGCTGCAGGGTGAAAATACCTTTCTTCGAGAGCAACTGGAGGACGCTCAGGACAAAACTGAGGACAAAGAGAAGATGCTGGTGAGGATACAAGACCAGTTTCTTTGCCACATTTTTTTTTTTAAGATTTATTTGTTTATTCATACAGAACTGGGGTACAGGATGGGGTACAGAGGGTGACAGGATTCACCAGAGACAGAGTGGGGAGCAGAACAGGCAGATCGATGAAGTATACTGCTGAGGTGAGCAGCAGGCGGGTCAGGAGAGGTCTGCCGCCATGTTGTCACCTCCGGGGCAGGCGGGGATCAAACTCATGTGGAAGAGGCTTAATGGAAAGAGGGAAATGGGCCTACCTAAAATGGGTATTTTGGAATGAAGAATCAATTAAGTGGATTTCCTTGACAGTTAATTCCAGATGTCCCTGATGAGTTGAAGTGTAGAGGTTGAATCTCATAGCACTTTTCCCTCAGTAGCTTTTAATAATACATTTTTAGTTGGCAGAGTTTTGCTTTTACTCATGGCATTTTAAATTCAATTTGGCAATGTTTTTATCTCAAATCATATATCCTTAGACTGTGCAGTTCTTTAAGGCCATGTGCTGCTCATGAAATCATAATTCAGGACATAGGTGTTTTTTTTTTTTT